GCAGCAGCGTCCCTCTTAAAACATGACCAAAAACCTAACTGTATTTGCCAACCGGCTTGCTTTTTTTTAACTTCGACCTTACAGGATATATTTCTAACAATATGGCGACTAATCTATATTACCAACAATCCCCTTCTCCTGAGACATATAGGTCGCCATATCTATTTTAATATTGTTTTCATATATGTCTATATTTTATTCGATCGTTAATTTAATCGTAACTTTCTTACATTATATGGTAAAATATGCAAATGTTTCAAAATATATATATAAACAATGAAAAGGTTAACAAAATAACATTCACAATTAGTCCGCGCAAGCTTGCACCTCTAGGAAGGTCAGTTAATTTTATTACTATTATATTAGCTGACCCAGGAAACATTATTTTGCCCCCTAGCGCTATTGCCGGATTCATTTTTTTTTTCTTTTCAACACAAAAACTGTTCCATCTCTCAAATTTAAGTGAACAATAGGTACACATTTACAAAATTTCTTTAAAATCGGTTGAGGGGTTTTTGAAATTAGCTTGAAGGAACGTCGTGACATGGAAAGTAGGTATATACTCGTATATTACAAATTATGATCGTTTGTTTGTAATGGAGAAACTCAAAAACTACTCAAGTGTTTTTAAAAATTCTTTCATCTATAGAAAATTCAGCGAGTAACATAGGGTATATATTATTTTCAAGATTTGGAGATAAATACTAGCACTTAAATGAAATTTGTATTACAGTACAAAAGACTTGAAAATATCCATGTAAAATATACAAGCCAAGTACTGGCTAATACTGTTACTGTGACATTTTCGCGTTGCAGTTGGAACTGAGATGGAGGAACTTTGAAAACAAATAAGGACACGAGATACAAAGCAATGACACAAATACTGGGAGACTGGAAACTATATAATTACAAAATTTAACTTTCATAATGTTAAACGGAATAAAATAATAACATATATTTAATTGTATATAACTGCATAATGTAAATACTTTATATAAAGTCGGTAATTAAAATGTAAAATTTATTGGGATATTAATTTAACCTTTTAATATGTTACGTGGTTTAAAATATTTATATAAATATATAGTTGTATATATTACAGCTTTTTGCCCGTTACTTCGTACGTGGATGAATTGACAAGCGTTATTTTCGAAAATAGGAAAACCAATTAATTAGACAATTTTTGGAAGCGTTTCAAAATAAAACATACACCAGATTTTATGTTAGACCTTCCATAACAAAGCCGTGAAAACAGCATCCAATATGGTGCAGTAGTTTTGCCGGAACAAACATTTAATAAGACAGTCAGAAATAATAAATCTCAAAAATATTGTTTTGGTATCTATTGATCTTGGTAAGATTCCTCATTTTATTATTTTTTAAATATTTTCCTTGTATAGACATCGTCTAGTTACAGTTGTATTATATTAGTAAAATTTATACAACTCCCATATAGTTGTTTTTTTTATACCAATTTTTTTATGCACATGGTATTTACCAATAATTATTATACTCGTACCAATAAATACAATACCAAAACAAAGTTTACAATAAATAAGAAACAAAGACAAAAGAATAGATTTTATTTCGAAAAAAAAATGCGTAGCTTCAACGGGTACCAACATTGAATTAAAAATATTTGAATGTAGAATGTGCGAAATCGTGTGTTTTTTGAGCCGCACGTAAAAACGACAGCTTCGATAGTCACACGATATTTCGCGATGTAATCGCATGACATAAAGGCAAAAAAATCAGACGTATTCAAAATATTTTTATTTGGAAGTTAAAAGTTGGTCGGCAGGCTAAAACATGTTTAAATAATTTGATCACCTAATCGACAACTAGGTGATCAAAGGACCGATTACTTTGAGCATCGTATTAGTTTGGGTCTTTATAGAGAGGAAATACGATCAATGCTTTTGGTACCCTACTCAACAACAATGTTTATATAATTTCCAAAAGGAGGCAGTTCCCAATTCTCTTGTAACTGTTGATGACTCCTGCAATCCATGATGATCACTTAATTTTCCAACATTAGTTTCGATTTTTTTTTAAATAAAAATTTTAAATTGGATGTAATTCTTGCAGACCATAAGATTTAATATACCGGAGTGCCTTATTAAGTTAAAAAAAAAGAAGTATTAACATTGGATTAAAAAAACCGGCCAAGTGCATGTCGAACTCCAACTGTCGAAATACAAATTATAATTTAAAAATTGCAAAAATATATTTTCAATATAACTGCAAGTTGAAAGTTTTCGGATTTTTCCCATATTTGTACTGTACGAACTAAAAGTACCGTATAGATTTTGATTCCGTTGCAAATATCAAAATATGAGCTGTAAACGGCCGTATCTTTTGCTTGTCTTGTCTTAGAAGTTATAATTTTCCATAGCTTCAAGGGCTAGACAATTTGAATATTTTATATAAATTTCAGCTTGATATTTTCACATGTTACTGAGAAAAAAAAATTTGATAGACGGCCGAACAGACAACAAAGTGGTAATATGTGTTCCGTTTTTTTCTTTTAAGGTACGGTACTATTAAAATTGATAAATTAGACAATAATAAATAGTATTTTACATATTTTTCTTTATAAATCTCTTGGTAATTTTGTAGACTTTGAAGATACTTTGTAATTAGAAATTTCCTTAAATGAATTTGCGAGCAATCTAATTTTTATCTAATGTTATCCGCCCTTTACAATATTTTGTTTTAATAAATAACTAAAGAAATAAAATAAATATTAAATATATAAAAATTCAACGTTACTTACTAAAATATAAAATAATTTTAAAATTCTTCCAGCTCAGGATATATTGATAAAAGTGACCCCATAGCGGTATTTATGATATAATTAATTTATGTAACACTGCATGAAATTCGATTTTAGAGGCTTAAACCGATCCCATTTTATTCACCGAAATTTCTGGTCGTGGAATTTAAAAAAGGGTATCGGATTATCTTGATTACAATATTATTGAGCTCTTTTTAAAATGGTTGTCTCATAATAAATTTATTTTAATTAAAATTTGGAAAAACATCAAATTGAAAAGGCATATAAACAAAATTCTTTTTTTTTTTTTAAGAACAATACTATAGTTAATACGTATATGTAATTAATGGATTGTAACCGTGGTTACTTATTTTGTTAGTAGAACCAAAGTAGTGCAATTAGTTATACATCTAAGCTAATGTTATAAAATAAAAAATATATATACATAACCCAAAAACCCCTCAAGGGACAGCCTTATGTTCAGCATTGGACAGTTGAAGGCTGATATGATGATGGTGATGAAATATACATGCTGAAATATTTTTTTAACGAAATCTTTGTCAAACAAATCTAAAAAATGTATAAACTTCATCGGTCAAAGCGTTTATAATAAATAACACTTGACTTTTACGTATTGCCAATTCACCAACTCGAACTTTGCAGATGAGTGGGTATTGGACATTCCCTACATTCCACTTCTGTGGAATTCTGATCGGCTAACCTGTTGTGTGGTAATCCTTTATATTTTCCGTAACGAAATCTATGCTAAATTGTTCAAAGTTTCCTTCCAAGTTACCTTATTTCCTTTGTTGATTGTTTCTTTGTTTGTTGATTGTTTTTCAAGCGCAGTGAAATGTTTTATTTGAAATATATTTATATTTATTTAATGTATTATAATTTATATAAAGTAACAGGATTTAAAATATCCTGTGTTCTTTAAATAAATTCCTTTTAGGCGAATTTAAATTATATATTTATTTTATGGTTATACTATTAATTTCACCAAAGAAGAATAGATAGGTAAAAAAAATTTCATAATTTTCAACATACTTTAGAAAAGGAACTTCTCTACTCGGTTGTATTTTTTTATTGAATGGATACACTTTCAATTTAGTCTCATAGAAATTTTATCTAAATCGGTTTAATGTTTTAGTTTTTAAGTCAAAGTTACTGTTTTACCGTAATTGGAGTCGTCTTTCCCAATATAAATAGTATTTTATTAAGAATAAATATTATCTACCAAATAGTATATATTTAATTAATATTTTAAACAATAATAGAGTTACCAAAGTAACAAAAGAAGTAATTCATACAATAATGTAAAATAAATTCAGATTATAAAACGTGACACTAAAATATATCATCATTTAAAAATAAAAATCATTCCTACACGAACAGAATTAGAACCCGGATCTTCCTTGTTTTCGCTGTCTTTAACGGTTATTTACAATTAATAATAAACTATTTAATCATAAACATTAAAGCAAATTTTTTTAACTTTATTATTACTTATTTATTTAATTTCCATATTAGATATATTTGTTTAAAATCTACGATAAAAATTTTGAATATTTGTAGTTTTCTTCATAATGCTAACCGAACGAAGCTACAAAACTTACTCACATGTTTTGTGAGTAGTTTAAAACCAAATTTATGTTTATAAAATATCTATTATTACAAGTTTTGTCATTTATTTTTCTATTACTAAACGAGTAACTAGTTCATTTAATGTAGGTCAATAAACACCCCTGTATCGGAGTGACTGCGTAAAAATAATACAAAGATATAACTATTCTTTGATTAACTCATCGTAATATTTAAATAAAGTCTTTCACTAACTTCTATCTCATTGTAATTTACAAGAGTAATATAAGATTTATTGTTATTATTTATTTTACATTACTTAGTAATATTATTTATTTTATCAAATTGTATTAACAGGAAACTATTCTAATGTCTAGTAATATCAAGTGGTAATTATTTTTAAAGCAGAGGTTTATGAAAATATTCTTTTTTAATTGTAATTTCCTGTATTTATTTCATGCGAATAGATTTAAAATTATCTATTATTTTAATTACATTATTTTATCCAATACACAAAAAAAAATATTTTTCTCTATAACAATTATATTTTTCTCATAATCATACTTACAGTCTAGTTTTTAGGAAGGTTTCATGTAAAAATAAAATAGTTATAAACCTTGTAAAGCTTTTCGTAACTTACCTCAAGTTGTAAGTTGGAACTCGGTAAATGCACAAACTGATACTAGTGCGCGTCTGCCGCGCTTTGTCACTCAAATGAGCGGAGCGGATATCTGCACTCATTTTATACGCTGGCCATACGCGTACCGGATGGTGCTACGCCGCTACGCCGCGCCCAGCGTAGGCGTGCGTAGGCCCCGGCCTACGGCGTACGCTCATACTATATCTGAATAAAGCAAACCAAATATATGTTATACCTAAATTACAACATTTAAAATATATTTATATATTATATTTTCACAGGTATATAAAGGTAAGTATATAAAGTATATAAATAAACTCTAAAATAAATCTAGACATTAGTACTTAATATAATTAATTAGTATTGACTAGTGGGAATTAAATTTAAAATTAGAATATTGTAATTATTATTATATATATAAATATAAAAACCTTTGTAGTATGTGTCTGTAAACTGTGTCTTTAAGGATTGTGTCCCACGTAAAAAAACTGACTTAATTGTAACAAAATTAGTTATTTTTATTTTTAAACTAAACTACTCAATTTAGCTAAAATTTCTATGAGGCTAAATTCTAAGCATATCCTTTCACATAAAAAAAAGAATTTTCCAAATCGGCTTAGAACTGACGGTGTTATTAACAAACGTTACAAAAAATACAGGCGAATTAAGAACTTTGTAGTTTTTAAAGTCTGTTGAAACTGATGTCATTACTTTCATATTTTTTACAGCAACATTGGAATACCTCTGACCCAATCATTGATTAAAGTCGAAAGTATATTTATTTTATTTTTGCAATTTGTATGGAAAAAAATGTTTCTGTTGAAAAAATATTGATTGCTGAGTAGGTAGGTATATATAGGTATATATATCTACATAGAAGTATCAAATAGATTTACCAAAACATAATAACGACAAAGTATCTCTAATTACCCCGTTTGGAATTACAATAGTGAACACATTTATGTGCCCATATTTTTTTATTAATGCCATTGTTTATGGTAAAGGTTTTGGTATGGTATTTCGGATGGCGTTTGCTTTAGTTAATTAATACATTAAGTTTGAATACCTCTATGTAATGGATATCTATATATAAAATTTCTAATAATGAAACTGTATTTAAATAAATGGATTCTGATACAATTTGCTATTATTATGACTTAGTATTTTAGTTAACATATATTGCTTTTGCTACGATAAAAATATTAGTCCAATCAGAAAATAAAAAAAGAATGCATATAACGCCATGAAAGCAATTTATATATCAAATAAATCTAATTTCGATATATACTTACTCATGGCAAATTTATGACTAAAACTTAAATAAAAAAATAAATACTATATGATCGATATTAGAAGTTATCCTTAATTTATTAACAATATAAATAGTTGAAGGGATACAAAAAATATACACTTACAAAAATCTGATAAACATATTTTTACTTTAGATTCTTTGTTTTCTCATTGTGATTATTTCTTGTAATTGTTTATATTTATAATAGGTTTACTGTTGTGATATTTTGGAGGAAACGATAAAGAGTATCTATCTATCTATAGATCTAACTTTTCTCCCGCAACTTCGATTGCGTGGATTCTAGAGATAGGTAATCGCTTCTAGATGGCGAATCAAGATAAAATTTTTGTGCAGCAGTTCAGATACAACAAGCAAACAAACAGACAGTTATAAAGTTTAAAAATTATTCTCTTGACTTTCTTTGCTGTTATTAATGATCATCGTAACAGTTTTTCTTAAATATTTTACTGATTTATCTATTTTATTTATTTTTCTCCACAAATTTTACAAAAAAATATATTTACATGAAAAAAATACAACTATATATGTATATATAATTACAATGGTCTGTAAAACTTGGGAGACTGGACCCTAAACTAGATCAGAGATCTGTGTCTCAGGAATCCAGGCCCCCAACTCGGACACCATGTACAGCTTGCATTAAGGCTAAAATTAAAATTTGTGAAAACGAACATACAAAACAAAAACAAAATAAAATGTATGTGTGTGTGTGTGTGTGTGTGTGTGTGTGTGTGTGTGTGTGTGTGTGTGTGTGTGTGTGTATGTGCGTGATTGATTGTGATGTGATTTATATGTAATATCGCTAGTTACTTGATTAGAAGTATTTCTTTAATTCTTATTCATTCAATGATTTTTCTTAACTATTTCAAATATACAGACATCGTCCACTTACAGCTTTATTAGTAAGATTTAATTTTTTACATATACTAGTAATTATTTATAATATCATATCGTTATATTCATATCCAATCTATATTATATAATAAATAGTTTTTAATTTATTTTTTTATTATTTAGAATAGTACATAGAGCGTACATTTGTTACATATTATCTTCGCCAACATTGGTGATTGTTTTTTAGAGGAAAAGGTTCACTTCTGTGTTAGCCCCACCTTGATTCTAGCCAACAAAAAAAATATATCTCTTTTTGTACAAAAATCTTAATCTACTATTTTTTCTATATTTTAAAACGTAACATTAAAAACGGTTGCACAGATTATATTGAAACTAATACTGTTGTACAGCCAAGAGCCTTATAGGTGCTGCGAATAACAATGTCAACTTTCAAGTTTTATAGTTTATCATTATTTTACGTAAGACAATATTTTAAAAGTCATAGCTTACTTCCAAATAACCTTTACAGTAGTTTGGATCAGTCTTGCCAGATTGGGTATTTTTCCGCAATCTTAGGTAAAAAAAATTGTATTCACGAAATTTTGAGAAATGAAAAATAGTATAATTTTTTTATAAAACTTAGAATGGCAAACAAGCTGACGGCCCACCTGATGGAAACTGATATCCGTCGCCTATAGACATGAGCAGTACCATAGACATAACAGAATATACTGTTTCGCCCATGATACCCCCGTGCGTTGCCATTCTTGAGGAGTCAGGTGTTATTTTTTATTTTATTTTTTTATTTATTTATTTAAGGAACACCAACAGCATATTGCATTATAACATATAGGTATAACAACATTAAATACAATACAATATTAATGCACATGCCTATTATAGGTATTCACAGCATTCACTTTAACGTAATTATACAGTGTAAGAAATTTAAGTAAATAACAGAAATAAACATGTAATCTAAGTTGTGAGCAAAATCAGAAAATAAGATTATGAGTAAATTAAATTAAAAAAAATATTAAAAAAATATATATATTATGACAATTAGAGTTAATGTTCATAAGATTGTTGTACAAAGTGCTTCAGCAATTTATTCCTGTAGGAATTCGAATTATCGTACACTATATCAATTTCTGGTAATTTGGCATTAATTTCATTGTATGACGCACTAATCCTGGCCAGAGGTTGATGCAGTCCTAGGTTTGTTCTGCAGCGCGGTAAGCTAAATGTTTTAGTTATAGGGTGTCGAGGATAATTTAGAGGTACCGTTAATTGGAGTGAACTCAGTAAATCTGCACAATGAATTTTATTATTGAGAATTTTATGAATAAACATTAAGTCTGCAATCATACGACGCGTCTTAAGAGAGGTAATGTTAAAGAAGGACATTCTCTGACTATAAGGTCGCCTATGCGATATGTTACGGGTTATGTAAGCTAGGTGTCTAGTGAATGCTCGTTGGATATTTTCTATTCTTTGAGATGAAGAGCTGTAGACTGGATTCCAGGAAACAGAGGCAAACTCCAAACGACTACGTACTAAACTGTTATAAAGAATTAATCTAGTTTGCCTCAATTTAAAGCCTTTTAAAGAACGTTTAAGAAAACCAAGCATTTGTGCTGCCCGTGTGACAATATTATTTATGTGTACATTAAATTTAAGTTTGCTATCAAGCAATACTCCTAGATCTCGAACTTCACTAACAACTACCAGTTTTTCACCGTTTAAAGAATAACGTGATTCTATAGGTTTAATTTTACGAGTAAAACGAATGTACAAACATTTATTTGTGTTAAGTAACATACCATTCAAAGTACACCATTCCCCAACACCATTTAAGTCTTTTTGCAGAAGTTCTGCATCATGTATGGATTTTATTGTGCGATAGATTTTTAAATCATCGGCGAAAAGAGATATTTTACTGTATTTTATATATGATGTAATATCATTAATAAATATCAAAAAGAGAACGGGACCCAGGTGCGATCCTTGCGGTACGCCTGATTCTGCATAGTACTGTTTAGACTGAAATCCATTAATAACTACTTCCTGGGGCCTTTGAAATAGGTATGACTTAAACCAACTGAGTAGAGAACCTTCTATTCCAAAAACAGCCAATTTGTTTAGCAACACAACATGATTTACTTTATCGAAAGCATTGCTAAAGTCTGTGTAGATTCTGTCAACTGTCCTCTGTACCCTGTAAATTCACTGTCATATCCCACCATTCAAACCGAAACACAGCCATGCAAACACAACTGCTTTACGGTAGAAACAAGAATGGGACAGAGGTGCCCAAGCAAACGACTTTCGTACAAAGTCTCCCTCTGGTGGTAATGATACGACGTCTTTTAAAGAAAGAATATACTCCTTTTTAAAAGGCCGCCAGCGCACCTATACTTCCTCCGATGTCGCGAGTGCTCATGGGTGGCAGTGATCACTTACTATAAGATGTATTAACACTGTGCTTGTTTACCCCTGTATTATAAAAAAAAAAGTTAAAGTCATTTTTACAAAAAAAAAATTAAACGGGTATAGAGAAATTTGAGTATTATAAATTACATGTATATAAATATAACAGAATATACCAATAAAAGTAATAACATGAGGTGAAAAAGTCAGAAATAGAAAAGAGCGTTTTTTCTTTAGATGCGTAGTGATTTCATGGAAAAACGTAGAGAAAACCGATACGAGTTTGTGATAAGATAAAAGTGCGCGAAATCGCATCAAAATGGAGATTTTTTTACATTTAGGTAAAAATTTGAAATTGCATATGGCAACCTTAGTTTAGATAGTAAATTGTGTTATGACCTAAAGTATAAAAGGTTATGATTAGCGGTCATTAGTTCTTGGCTAGCATCTTTAAGTCATTTTTACATACTACAGTTTCAACCTCTAATCCTCAATGTCCTATCCAGGGATCACATTTT